GAGTGAAAATGTGGTCATGAGCAAGATCTCTGGGTGCCCTCACCTGCCCTCCTGTGCCAGGCTCTCTAGTAGGTGTCAGAGATGTAACAGAAGGGAAAGAAGGGGTTTTCTAGGGACAAGAGCCCCTCCTGCTCCCTTCCAAAATGGGTTGGAGCCTCTTAGTCTATTTGGGCTGCTCTAACCAAATACCACAGACGTGGTGGCTTATAAACAACAGAAATTTATTTCTCACAGTTCCAGAGCCTGGAAGTCCAAGATCAGGGTGCCAGCATGGCCAGGTGAGGGCCCTATTCTGGGTGGCAGACTTGTTATGTCCTCACATGATGGAACAGGCTAAGGGGCTCTGTGGGGCCCCTTTTATAAGGGCACTAATCCCATTTATGGGTTCTACCCATGAGGGCTCCACCCTCATGACCTAAGCATCTCCCTAAGGCCCCACCTCCTAATACCATCACTTTCGGCATTAGAATTTCAACGTAGAAATTTTGGGGAGACACAAACTTTTGGACCATAGAAAAGCTAGTATTCCTGCCTGTTTCCTTTTCCCTCCAGTCTTCAGTCAGAAGTCCCCATGCCTCCCTCCCAACGTTGCCCTGAAATCACAAGTGTTCACAGGATGACTGTGAGAGCCGGTGAATGTGTATGTCACTTCTGCTGACCCCTGTGTTGAAAATACACAAACACATTGCTCATGTGTAATATATGTAAACCAGTGCCCCCAACCACACGCAGCCAAGGTGTGATAACATAGAGAAGGATATGCTTGGAAATAATACAAGCTGTGCTTTTCCTCCTCTAGAGTAACGGTGTGATGTAGTTGTTCAGAGCAAGAGCTCTGAAGCTGTTTCTTACACTGACTAGCTGAGTGATTTCTCCTTTGTGTGCTTCACATAGTGGTATCAAATTCATAAGATTTGTAAGATTCATTAAATGAGTTAGAGGCATACTTTGTGCTTAGAAAAGTGCATAGCACACATTTAGTGCTCACTACATCCTAGATATAATACAGTTATAGTTTCCCTCTTAATTTTATTACCACACAGAAGGAGCTATCTTTAATTTTTATCAAAAACATAGGAGACTTTTATACATAGCATACATCTTTCAGTAGCATTTTCGACAGGTTCTTCTCTGTTGTTTAACTGTTGAAAACAAAGATGCTGCATATTAAGGAGTGGACCAAATTTCAATTGAGGAGGAAAGGCAGTCCCAAAACATTTTTAGAACACAAACAATCCATTTTATGATTGCTGTGCAAACATAATTTTTGGCAAAACTCTCTAATTCCTGGCCTTCACGTGGATAAAAAGAACAGCAGCCTCTTTTGGACAAGTTGAGGCTGGGAATGCAAAGAATTAAGATGTGAACAAGGCATGTTTTCAGCATATTTCCCTAGTGAAACATCTGAAGTGCGTATTTGGGAACAAAGATGAAAATCTTAGTCCCAGCTTCCCAAACTGCTCCCCTTATAGAGAGGTTCCTGGATTTAGTGGATGGAAAGGGGGGGCAGAATGATGGAGGGAGGTGAGGAAATTTTATCCTCACAAGAAAGGGACTTAACATTATTTCTACAACTTTCTCTGACCCAGATGAATCTCTCATCTTTGTTTCATCAGAGTCAGAAATTTAATAAGAACTTATTGGACTATAAAATGATGATTAAATATTTATTGAAAATGTAAATATGATACTTAAACGTACTTACACTCCTACAGGCACCTTAAAGGCAATATACCTTTATTTAAGGGAGAACCTTATTTCAGAGCTTTGTCTGAACTTGACACCCCACCTGAATGATATTTAAATAAACGTAACACAGAAAATGCCTCTTAGGAAAGAATGGCCTAGCTTCTGCATTTCTCCTGTATTAATTTAGGGAGTTCATTTTAACATTGCCCACAGGATAAAGTCTAAATTTTTCAGCCGCACAAGCGGATCTGAATCCTTTCAGCATCTTCTCTTCCCACGCTCCGGAGTGTCCCTACTTCCCATTACTTCTTTTCAGAAGGCAGGGAACCTATAAGGCACAGTCATTCTCCAAGTCTTTTCCCTGCTGTTGACTTGTTTTTATTTCTGCTGAAATTTTGCACAGTCTTCAAAAATAAGCTCTGTGGGATGGTTCTCTGTGATTTACCCAGATCTGGAATCATAGCTGATTCTTTGCTCTCTCAATCTTTTGTTTGTTCTTCAATTCATGCCCTGAGTTCATTGTCTTATGATTTAGCTAATTACGTGCATCCTTTTTATCGTCATAAACAGTTAGCTCTTTGGGGGGAAAGTAAAATTTCTCAGTCTATTTGTATGCCATATGGTACCACATACATACCAGAACTCAACACATATCTGTAATTAATGAAGCACAGAGACAGGAAAAGAAAAGTTCTCAGGATTAGAGTATACTTTTCCTCATTTCCTTTGTATGTCATCCCTCTACCTTGTGGCCATTTAGAGTGTCACCTTTGTCTTTGTATTTCTTCTAGGACAGTCTGGTTATGGACATGCCTTGCTTAAAGCCCTAATTGACCTCAGAATGACAATTTGACCTTAGTTACATAAAATCCAAACTTTATTTAATATCTCTTAAGATCTAATTTATGCCACCAGCAAATCCCATGTCACACCTCTCCTCACACTTTGTTACAGCTATACCAAATTTCTTTGTGTCCCAGAGATGGTCTTTTTACAGGAATGCCTCGTTGTTCCATTCTTCCCCTCCCCATCTTCCACTGGCTGACGCGTCATCTACCAGATTCAAAATAAGATGTTACTTTTTCTGGGAATTATTCCTAATTCCCCACACCATCTCCAGCCTTAGATGGGATTAAGCCTTTCTCCTTTGTGATCTAATAGATAAGAAAGATCAGGAAGGCTTGGGTCAAGACATGATTCTGCTTCTTGCCAAGTAGTAACTTTAGAGCAGTGCTTCTCAAACTTGATTATGCATCAGAACTACCCTGAGGGCTTGTTACATCATAGCTCGCTGGGCCCCATCTCCAGAGTTTCTGATTCAATAGTTCTGGGATTGGTCCTGAAAATTTGCATTTATAACAAGTTACTAAGGGACACTGATGATTTCTGCGGATCACCCTTTAAGAAGCTCTGCTTTAGACAATTTATTTAATCTCTCTAAGCATTAGATGATAAATCTGCAAAGTGAGGCTGAAAGGTGTGTCTTCAGAACTAATTCAGATAATGTCTGTAAATGCTTTGACATGAATTAGTACTCAGTCAATGGCAGTCAATGTTTTTTTTTTGTTATCATTGTTTTCATCACACTATTAGACTGCAGATTAGAACTGCAGATTTGCCAAGTAAACTAGGAACCCCGCAGAGAGCAGAGACTATTGGTTTTCTTTTTGTTGTATCACAGGTGCCTCATGATGTGCATTAGTAAGCACTAATTAAAAACATATAACAGAAGAAATTCAAATTAAAAGCACTCAATAAATAATAAATAAAATGAATTTAGGTTCTTTTTGTAGGTAGAATTCCCTACTTCAACTTGCTATATCCTTGGTTCTCCTGGGACTGTGTTTGCCGATCGGTTCCTAAGTTACTTTTGGTGATGATGAATCAGTCCCGACAGCTTTTGTTTCTCAGCAGATTACACAAGCAACATAGAAAATGTCTTTCTGTAAGAACTAGAAATAACCACATGGGCCATTCATCTGGCTCTGCAGTTTCATTTTCATACTGAATGAAAGCAGTTGTAGCAATATATTCCCCTGCTTTCTGTGTCTGGACATATGCCTGCGTTTAACATGGATATGGGTTAAAAATTAACATGGAGAATTCTTTTGCAGTTATTTGCCCGTTTATGACACTTCTTCTTTTGAGAAGCCTTTCCTGCTTTTGTTGTCAGTCCCCACCCCCACCCTCCTCGTTGACTTCAGAACCTCATATTTATTTTATATTTACTCATTAGTTCAGCATATTTTTTTCACCATTTGCCATGTGGCAAGTATTATTCTCACGGTGGTGATGCCACAGAACCTAAAGCATGGCAGTGACCACCTTGTACTGTAATTGTCTGTTCCGTCTCCCATGCTAAACTGTGGGCTTCCTAATGGTAGGTGCGGTATCTGATTGATCTTTGGGTCTCCAGCTCAATGTCTGGTATCTGGTAGACATTCATACATATGGATTATTATTTATACAGAGAGACCCTTCTTGTTATATCAGTGCTTAGAAATGGAACTGAGCATCAGAGATCATATACTGCTAGTTCACAAAATGATTTGGCACTAGACATGGATTGTGTGACCTACAAAGCATTGCTTGTTTGAATTTCAATTAGGGCCACCCAGTAAAATGTGGGAGATTTTTATATAACGATTCAAGTTTCCAACTTCACTTGAAAAAGCCCACACTTCTGTAGTGCACCAATCTGCTGACGCTAATTCCCACTCCACCTGCTCCTTTATCTGGAGAGTGCCTTCTTTATTTCATTACAACCCCTACTAGCCTCTATTGTATTACACAACTGTGTGTGCATATGTGTGTTGTGTGTGTTTTCAGATATGTGTGGTGAGGAAAGAAAGAAAGTCTTCAAATTCTACATAAATCCACTTAAAGTTTGGCTTTATACCTTATAACAATCTAACCTCACCTGGAAATAATACTTTATTTCTTTTATTTTTCTCTAGTGATGTAGACTGCTAATAAGGATTTGCTTTCATTTGAAACATAGAGCATACTGAGTCATCAATCTAAATTTTGTCTAAGTTGTTTTTCTGCATTTTCAAAGTAGGTTTCCTGTATTTCTCAATTAATTAGATAATTACCAGCTTCTCTTCTATTGTGATGTGTACCCCGTCCAAAGTAAAAATATATCTAAGTCTATCTAGTTTGGGTTATTTTCTTCCTTTATAATTATTGAAGTAACCCTTTCATGTGGCTTGGTTTTTTCATATGAGATTAGGACACTTAAAAACATAAAATTGAATTAAAATTATTGTTTACCGAACTATATATATATTCATGATTTTTTTCAGCTTTCGTTAAAAAGAAGAGGAAGCAAAGATTTGCCAAAATCTGAAAAAAAGACTCAACAGACTCCCACAGAGGTATGTAGAAAGAAAATTTCAACTAGTATATCAAGCATTTCTAAATGTATATAATAAGCTACTTCTGTAAGTGACATACTGGCCAGATACACTCCTGTAAAACAAAATTAAATTATGCATATTGATTATATAGCTTAGATATGGACAGTGTAAAACATTCAGTCTCTTTGCTTACAAAGTTAGCACTAACATCCTTATTATTGCATTTGCATTGTAATCACACAACAAAATGTCAGTACTTTATGTGTTTCTGCATTGAAGAACTGTACCCATTGTGCTATTATTGTTCACTCATAATTAATAAGGTCAATAGAATGGCTGTTTCTATAGTATTAGGAGAGAATAAAGAAAGGAATGTGGTGAGAAGGGATGGCGGAGGGGAGAGAGGCTTGTGATGGCTTTAGAAAGCCCTAGACCGAAGTACATAATTCTTTATACCCATGACTGGGGAAGCAAAAGAAAGGCAATGAAGGAATAAAAATAAAACTTAAAAACGTGGGCTTGCTAAGAACCTTAGAAACATAGCCACAATAAAGACTAGTTCTGCTATCAGGGTGAGCAAAAGGTGCTGATGGACGTAATAAAGGAAATTTCAATACAGAAGAGGAAATACTTGGACACAGAAGTGACATTATGACTCCAAAAACACTTGACTAGATATTGACTTTCAAATGTACATGTTGCAACCTATAGTACTATAGCATGCTTTTAAAAAAAATTTTTATAAGGGGTTTTCTCATTAGATAATAACTTCAAAGCAATATTTAAATATACAAAATTTGAAAACGTTGATGTCAATCATTTATTTAAGAGCATAACATATTAAATGTTTATTTCCCTTTGCCTGTCTCCCTGCTCTGCTCTTAATTAATTTTCCTCCCGGTACTTGCATTTATAGGCCAGAGACCTACCAAGATCATTACTCCTTTTTGTACCGTTCTCTCCATTTCCCTAATAAGTTCAAATACACTCTGTCCCTACAGCTTTCCCACCCTGCCTTTGCCATAACTTTAGCTACCTCAATCTAAATATTTTGTTGTAGATCATGTCACATGTTCCCATGAATCCCCATCCCCATCTTCTTTAGGGAGAAGATGCTATATGCTCCTTTTTCTAAAATGTTAAGTCAGCTTTAGTCAGTTTATTTTTTAAAAATTCACATTTATCCTATAATACTTCCCATGTTAACCTTTATTTTTTTCAACATTTCTAATCCAAGAATTCTTAACTGTTTGCTCCTGGCTCTATGGACCCCCCACTCTATGTGCATGTGGGCGCCTTTCTGCAAAAGACACCCACAGCTTTCACCAGTTTCACAGTGAGACCCGGGACCTTACCACAGTCAAGATACATTGCAACCAACCAGTTTTTATTTCATGGACACCACCATCCCGGGAGTTTTATAAGTATGCTGTTATGGCCTTTAAAGTCCCTGCTATCATTTTCCATTCATTTATTTTCAGAGGTTATTACCTGTCTTTTTTCAGAAACCCACCCCAGCAGATTGATCTGCCCTGGATGGGAGATCACAGTTGTAAAGTAGTCCATAGAAGATTCTATTGCTCAGTCAAGGCTGAGGACCACTGGTTCACAAACCTATATAACTATAAATATCTTGTTCTATTGTAATTCTTGTGTATACATTCATCTCCCATTTTTTAGTCACGTCATATCGTAGGCAAAAGCCACATTATTCAGCTTTGATATGTCAGTGTTTAGTGTCTGGCAGTCTGCAACAGTATTCACTTTTGAATACTCCCATGTCCCCCTTTTTATATAGCCATGCGAAATTGTCAACACACTGCTGATTTTAACCTATACAAATGGCAATGTCATTTGATTTAACCTACTATTATTTGTATAGCTTTGTATTTCATTTTCTTTAATGTATTCTTTCCATATTCCTTTAGCAGCACAGTGACTTTATGTGCTGAAAAATGGTATTGCATGGCAATTAAGAGCAGTAACTTCAGGGCCAGGTTGCCTGGGTGGAAATGGCAACCATTTTGTAGCTCTGTGGCCTCAGACAAGTTACTTATTCTTCCTACGCTTTTATTTCCTCACCTGTAAAATGGGAATCATAATAGAGAGTTGTACGGATTAAAGGAGTTAAAATATGTAATTTATTAGAGTGCAGTTTAGCTTCTAGTAGTGGCTAAGTCAAAGCCAGGCTCAGCTCTTCTTTTGACCCTTTATCATCTTTATACTCCCCTTCCTCATATTTCATTTGTATCTTCTTAACAGTGAGCCTTGAACATACACAAAAATAAGAGACAACATGCTTCACATCTCAAAGCATTATAACGTTTCTTGCCAAGAATTCGCTATGAAAATAGGAGCAAGTGTTTTTTTGTTTGTTTGTTTGTTTTTTTAAAGATTTTTATTGGGGAATTGCGGGGAGGGGAACAGCGCTGGGGAATTGGGGGAAGGGGAACAGACAAGCTGCTGTCGTCTTGTTCTTCAATCTAGTTGTGGAGGTCGTTGCTTTACTGGCCCAAGCTGGCACCATCATTGCGCTCTTCTCTGGCGAGGCAGATCAGTCGCCGGCTTCTGGACGGCCGCTCACTGCGGCTGCTGGCCG